AAGTTCAAGTTAAAAGAGAAAATGATATCCTGTCGTGCTTCTTGGAGTATAGAAGTATGAGAGTACAATGGAAGTATGACATTTTGAAGATTTCAGCCAAAATTGGCGGCACTGTAAAACTTGTATGTCCATATTTTATACTAAAATATTTTCTGAAATTTTTGATTGATTTTATGGTTTACAAAAGTTCCGCAATGAGCTAGTATGAAATTTAAGCTTCACGAAAAAGAAAAATATAGGAATTTAAACGTTCTGTAAGAAATTTCGGGTATACGTACATTACTATGCTTTTTGAAATAACCTTCACTAATAATAATAATGAGAAAGAGTACACTTCAAAATATCAAACGAACGTGGCTAGACGTATGTCTCGCCAAAGAGAAAAAGAAAAGTGCTATTATAAAATCTGTCACTTCGGTATTATGTAATCTTCGACATCGAATATTTTGACTATGCACTTTTATACTGAAACATTTTGTTGAGAATTGAACGCGAAGACCTTTAGTACAAAAAAAATTCTAGCCGAAGTAATAGATTGGATCACAAAAATTTGACTCATGTCGGGCACAGATGATGTGAGTGAAAGTTAGTACCGGATTCGTTCGTATACTTAAGTTATATTTCGTTCAACTTGAATTAGGTGCAGAATTTTAGGACGAATCCGATGGTGTAAAGATCAAGAGGGGTCATCGAGTACAAAATCGCAGTTGACCTCGAAATACTGAATTTTTCAAAATTTTTTGAAAAGTATTTGCTCGATGATCCCATACTAAATCGACATCATTCGATGTAGAATTTCATGCTAAATCCAACTCAAGTAAAATAACGAATCCGTACAGCAAATACTTTTCAAAAAATTTTGAAAAATTCAGTATTTTTGGGTCAAGTATCAGTTTTTATTCGATGACTCCTCTTGATCTTTACACCATCGGATTCGCCGTAAAGTTCTGCAGCTAACTCAAGTTGAACGAAATATAACTCAAGTACACGAACGAATCCGGATGGCAAAAATTCGAATCCGATGGTAACTTTACCCACGTACACTGATGAACAGCTAACATACGAATAAATATCTTTTTTTTTTCTTATTTTAGGCTCATAATTCACATGTTGGTGATGCTCGTGAGACTGATTCACGACGTGCACGAGAAGTTAATATTGGTCAATTAGTTCGTGAACGATTTGGTATAGGAAATACATTTAATATTGGATTTACAACATATACTGGTACAGTTACAGCAGCTGATAGTTGGGATATGGATCCAGATTTTAAACGTGTTCGACCATCATTAAATGAAAGTGTAGAATTTTTATTACATGAAGCATTAACAAAAGATTCAACAATGACAAATGATGGTCAATACTTTCTTTTATTTCGTTCCAATGATTCATCTATTAATCTATCAAAAGAATTACATACAGAATTACATAAAAAACGTTTAGAACGAGCTATTGGTGTTATTTACCGTCCACGTACTGAACGACAATCACATTATTTTGATGCAAGTCTTTCGACACAATTTGATTGTATTATTCATGTCGAAGTTACACGTGCCTTAAGACCATTAGAAATACATCCGGCATGGGCAGAAGCAGAAAAAGAACATGTACCAGATACTTTTCCAATGAATGTTTAATTTTTATTTTATATGATTCTTTTTTTTGATTGTTGACCAGTCAGGTCTTCGTCTATGAATAATTTTAATCTCGCAATTGCATATTCTCATGTCTTTTTGTTTATACAAGCTGTTTTTTTTTAATAAACGAGCAAGTCAATTTAAAATGAAGGTCATTTTATTGAATACATAATATTTGTTACTAGCAAGCATCTGTGACTTCACTTCGATCTGTTCAATTCTAATGATTCTACTCCTTATTCCCAATGAAAGAATAGGAGTAGTCCTTTAATTTTAAAGTTAAAATTCTTATAGTTTCGATAGATTATCGTTCTAGCTGTTGGTCAATACAAACATCACTTTATATATCGTACCCATGGAATGTTCGAGAACCTCGACCTTTAACGTGGAACAGGCAGACAGACAACCGTGTTTTATTGTGGAAATATTGATTAAAATCAATACTGGAGTTAGAAAATTTAAAACAAAAGAAATCTTAGAAATTGACGATAATATCAAAAATCTAATTGATTATTGACTTTACAATCATGAACATATGTTCTTTTTGAAGATACACATTCATCTACATTGACAATTCCACTAATCTTTTCTAATGATTTGAGCATGCCTAAAGAACTATTCTGTATATGAATAGAATAACATATGAAAACACTATTCATAAAATTAATACATCACAAAAAGAAGGTCATAGCTGAGTGCGTCATCTTTCGCATTTCTATCTACTAGCGATTGGTTATATATGTTTAACAAACCAAAAACTTCCTTTGACTTCTTAAAAAGAAAAGAAATTCATATTCATTCTTTATATATCATATTTCTGCAAAAATGGTATTTCTTACATCTTTACTTCGTAAATTACCAACACCTGAATGGTTATTAAAACGAACTATTCCTGGTAATCGAACAGATAATAAATGGTGGCGTTTAGAAACATTTCGATTTACATTTGAAAGTGATGGTCGTCGTCGACAATGTTTTAAAGTAGCATATCCTTATATGAGAAATCGTTGGCGTCTTGCATCACGTAGTCGTCAATTTAAACCAATATTTGAAGCTGATTTACAGGATACACGAATTGATGCAGCTGCACGTGAACATGGTTTACGACAACATACATTAACAGCTAGTCTTAAACGACAAAATATTCAATTATCACCAGCTATTCTTGCTGATCTTGCTATATATGAACCACGAACATTTGAATGTTTAAATCTTATTGCTAAACAACATATTTTAAATACAAATCTTGAAGTAATCGATCCCGAACATGAATATGATGAACAAGATATAGAACCTGATCCTGAAGAAGAACAAGTACCTATTCATGTTGATAAACATATATTAAATCCATCTTTATTTCAAGATGTTTATAATCGATTTTGATTTTGTTTTTCTCTTAAGATAAAATAAATACTTGCATATTATTAGCACAAAATTTTGTATTAAATTAAGATCTTCATAATAATGTTATAAATAATCTAAATTAGACAATTAATATTTTCATACGATAAGATTGATGAATCTTTTTGTAGGTCTTGATATGAGAGAGAGCTGAGGTAGGCTAGTTCCTCCTATTTCTAAAAACTATTGAGTCTTGATTTCAATTGATTGTACTTTAAAAAAGAAAAAAGCCATACATGCCAAGTTATTGAAATTAGAAATGAATGATAATTTGAAAAAGATGTCATAAGCACGAACAATTCTAGAATTTTTTTAGGCTTATTGACAAGAGAAGTCTATCAAATGATTAAACACATTTGAGTTAGAACAATGTGTATTATATAAATTGTAATGAGTTATGAATATCCTAAAAAGAATTCGTACTGTTGTGATACTGTATTTTTTAGCATAATGCCGTGGTCTGTCTCAGGATTACTGGAAAAAAAACTAATTTTCGAATTTCATCTTGAACTTTTGCACACAGATAAACTTTACATTAGAATAGTTTGTTGTGAAAAGTTTAGATCTTTTGATTTGCTGAAATAAGAACATTGAATATTATCTGTGTATATGAACGAGGCACAAAACACACTTACCATAGCTGTATCTTCTGATAGGAATAACAAAAAGATCTGAATCTTTTACAATAAACTATTCTGCTTATGGCGTATCTCTGCACATAATTTCAAATCGGTTTTTCGGTGTTCCTGAGAAGGGACTACGATTTTCATTTGAAATATTTCATAAAAAAAGCAATAGATTGGTAGCAATAAGACACCGGTAGGAATTCTTTTCAGGATATTCCTAACACGTTGTGTTCTATATGATACACATTGTCCTGACTCAAAATTAATTAATCAATTGCAGGACTTCCCTCATTAGATTAATCATTTTATGTTATTTCTCATTTTTCATTGTCAATATTTAAAATCAAAAACTTACAACAGCCTGGTCATAAACGACCGTTTACGGAGATATACGACTAGGGGTGGCACTTTAACTTTAACTTTAAAGAAAAGTTAAAGTTTAAAGTTGTTTAAAGTGACTTTAAAGTCGTTTAAAGTCGCTTTATTTTTCTTGTTTCTAATATTTTATAGGCTATAGAGTTTCAAAAACAGGAAAAATAAAGAAGTCTAAAGCGACTTTAAACGACTTTAAAGTCACTTTAAACAACTTTAAACTTTAACTTTTCTTTAAAGTTAAAGTTAAAGTGCCACCCCTGTATACGACTGCCATATATTGTTGTATATCATCGTATATCATGGCATACGATCGGCCTATGTTCAGTTTTCTTAAACTATTGCAAAAACAGTGTGCATACTTAAACCAATTGAGGAAGAATAAGAGTACCTTCATTTTAGATTATTTTATCGTATCAATGCAATGCATAGTGATTCAGATCAATGTCATATATAGAAAAACAGCATTGTATATTAGTCGTATTGAGATAAAATACGATCATATATGAACTTCGTATTCCTCGACCTGGATAGATAGTGTATTTTCTATCTAATAATTATTAACATCAATTGGTGATTATCTAATCATACTAGTTGTTTCAATATGAGATCAATAGATTCTTGTTGCAATTGTAATAATCATTCTTTTTCTAATAGATCCATTCTCTTTAAAACTTAAAGATTAATTGTATTAAAAGAAAATATTTCTAAATCTTTTTTTTCTACATATAAAAGAAAAATGATCTTTATTTTTTGATCTTACAAAGTCATGACATGATGCATGAGTACATGTTCTTTCTTTATTCATAAAATAAATAAATAATGAATGGCAGGTATGTTAACCAATCTAAACGTGTACTCATATGATTGGTTACTATATACACATAGGCATATCTGGTTATTTTTATCTGATTTTTGAACTGCGCATTTATTGCTTAGCTTAATTTGGGTGAAATATAAAGGAATGAATACTGAATCAAAAGAAACAATAACAGAAAAAATATTTATATTATTACAACGTCTTCTTAATGATATTATAACAAGTCCAATCAATTTGATTCTTGTTTTATTAATTATATTTTTACTTTTTAAATTATTTTTATTAAAACGTAAACCAACATATGATCCAAGTCCATCAAAAGTTATACCACCATTACCTAAAATGGCTAAACAAGATTTAACAATAGAAGAATTAGGTCGATATAATGGCACGGATTCAAATGGTCGAATTCTTACAGCTATATATGGTGATATTTTTGATGTTAGTCGACGAAATGATTTATATGGACCAGGTAAAAATATTTATTGTTTGTAATTTTTTGAAGAAACTCGAGAAAGAGAAATTATGTAATATTATGGACAATGAAAAAAAAAAATAATGATTAAAATTTTAGAATAAATTATTATATTTATTTTGTTGAAATAGGAGGATCATATTCATTATTCGCTGGTCGAGATGCAACACGAGCATTATCGAAAATGCAACTAACGCAATCATTATTTTCAAATGAATATGATGATCTTGCTGATCTTACTGATGGTGAACGAGCTACTGCTAGAAATTGGCATGAAGACTTTCGAGGTATTTTTGATTTTATTATTCAATTATTGTATATATCAAGAATGTTTTTTTTTCTATCTATTTGATAGAAAAATATGATATTGTTGGTCGTCTTCTCAAGCCAGGAGAACAACCAAGTGTCTATCCAGCTGAAGAACCGACAGTCGATGGTAGTAATACCAATGAGATGAAGAAAAATGAATAAACAAAAAAATTCTTTGTTTCGTTATATATTTAATTAACGAAAGTTCTTTCATGAAAACAAAAAAAAAACAATATATATTACTTTTTCTTTTTATTCATACTTATCTTTATCATTCCTTTTGACTGATAGCTAAATTTTCATGTGGCTTTTTTTTTTTATTTCACTAATTATGTGCGAGTAAATTATGTGAAAGATTAACACATAATAAGAATCGTTCTCTTATCATTTCATAATTCAAAAACTTGTCTTCGTGCTCTCTTTTTTTTCCCATTATGACCAAAGAACATTACGCTTATGATTTTCTAATCTGAATATAAACAAGAACTCGTTCTATTTTTGATTTCATCTTGAAATATAAAATTTTATTTTAAGTATTAATTGTAATTTTATTTTCTCTAAGGTTACATAATTTTCTTTTCTTTTCTTTTTTTTATTAGTGGTACATGTTACAAAAATTTAGCTTCTATTTTGTAGTAAATACATATATATCAATCAAAGTGAAAATTGTGATATTGTCATATTCTATCTTGTTTGGACACAGTGTTTTATTCAGATTTTCTTTTCCAGAGAGGCAATTCAAATGTCTGGAAGAGCGAACACATATTTTTGGAGCACAGATGTTTAACACATGGTACACCTGCCATTAATTCTCGAAGGACCAACTCGATTTTCAGACGAGCACTGCTCAAACATTTGTTCATCAAATGAACTTTGAGTTGACTTCTTGAAAATTTTGTATTAATTTGTTGTATAAGCCTTTATTAGAAATAATAGTGATTCACTATTCGGGAAGCAAATGAAAGCAAAGAGTGTCTGATGGATTATAAATGATCGTCATTGGCTTGAGAAGTTAATTTTCAACTAAGTGTTGTCCTTGATTTTTTAAGTGATTTTATTATTTCAATGTAGCAGCTGTTTCCCAGAGATAATATCAATAACTTAAGAATATAATTTCGTTTGTTTTTTGATTAGCCTAGCGAAAAAAAAAATATGATTTTTCATTCCATTTTTTTTTGAATTTAAAAAGACATTAGTCGACATAGTCTTTTGAATGAAAATATCTGTATAAACTTTCATATCTAACTTAATCAACTTTTATGAATAGATACATATTAAATCATAACTGTAAATCTGTTCTACTGCATGAAACTAGTCATGATTGTTTCCTCTGACGTGATTCTTTGTATCCACACATTCCCAGTAAACAATTTTGCAAGAAAGTGTCTGTGTACAACGGTTCTAAACTGATATATATATATATGTATGTGTATGTGTGTATGTAGAAGGAATGATAGATTATGACAGTTATTTTTCCCTAATGAAAATGAATGATTGACAGATGACATTTCACGTATGCTCAAAATTTAGATATTTTCAAGAAGTATGCCGTTTGAATGAATAATCCGATCAAATCTCATTTCATTAAAAATTTAGACAACTTTTATAAAACATCAAATCCTCATGATAAGAAATTTCAATTGATTACATTAAACGTGACGCTCTTTGTATCGGAATTATCTTATATGTATTTCATTATTATTGGATTGCTTGATATTCTGCTATAAGAAAACATTCAGATTAAGATTATCAAATAGATCTATTTTTATTAATCATATGTGAATATACTTTTTTCTTTTTTTAATTCTATGATTGTTTTGTGCAATTCAAACATCATATGATTCAACAAGATATTCATTAAATGATGCATTATTTACAGGCTACCATTTAAGTGGTCATTACTGGAATTAGCAGTAATTAATTGTAAAATGGTCAGTTTATTAAATAAAGTAGCAGTAAAAAATTCCAGCTTATATCAGTAAGAAATACAAATTTGGTCAGTGAAAAATACAAAAGTTGTCAATAGAAAATAAATTTAGCAAAACCAAAGAACCACATAATTAGAAGAAATTTTAACAGCAATTGAAAACAAAAAAAAGAAAATCAAATTATTGTATCAATAAAGCAGATTTAGCCTTTGTTGGTCTGCTTCTTTTTTTTCTCACCAATTGGAACTGTTTTTGCTGCGGATGGTGATTTACGATATTTCAAACGAATAGGGTATGGATGGATGTAGCTGTGGCTATAAGTGTAGGTATGGGTATCGAGAAAGAGTTTATACACACCCACATTCACCCTATACATGGAATAGATAAAGACAGTGACGAGAGAAGAGATCAAGAAGCTTCTTTTCCTTTGTTTTAGATAATAGACGATAAGAAGAATTGAAACAATGATTTCTCTTATCCACAACATGTATAGGTTAAAAGAAGTAGATCAAAAGAATAGGTCAAAAGAGCGAGAACATATTTAGAACAGCTGAAGATAAAGAAGAAAAGGAAAAAAAGTGAGTCACGCTATACCCATTTCAATTTTTATACTGATCCTTTAGTATAATCGACTGTTAATAAATTATATTTGCTGCTTTTTAAAATTATTTACAAACCTAATTAATCAATAACTGAACGTTTAAATAATTTACTGATCAATCATTTATTTTACTGACCTTAAAATAATTCCCCTTATTTAAATGTTTAATTATTCAAAGAAAAAATATACTTGAAGTATTGCAAAACATTTTTGTTGATCGTAACATTCAAATTTATATGTCATTATGATGGATAATATCGTCAAGTTTATCTATTTGTTTTGATTTTCATTGTTTAATATTTGATTTATTTTAAGTACTAAATATGACTCTTGACGAAACTTATCAACTTGAAGGTATAAATTATACATAGAAAAAGAATTTGTTTATTTGATTTCCTTATAAATTATTCAAGATAAAAAATAACTGGTGTCTCAGAGAGAATCTGCCTCTCCGTATTTTAATGATATCTGTAATTTTTCATGATAGTCAAATACGAACAATTTTATAAGATAAGTTTAAAATAATTAGAACATTAAAACGAAATAAAAAAAGGCAAATTTTAGAAATATTTCAAGATAGAACACTGCATTACTGTAAATGAATTCTTATAATAATATTTTTAACAGTTGTTTTCTTTATTCAATTTTAATTAAACATTTTTAAACCAAAGACAATGTAAATAGATGAATAGAAAAGTGTAAGCATAAATAAGTGTTAATAAATATTGAATAAACATGAAAAATATTGTTTATTTATTTACCACTGTCTTCGTTCACCATAACCATTAATTATGCATCTAAAAAAGAAAAACTAACTTTTTTTTGAAATATGAAATTAAAAAAAACTCAACATTATATGTTGATTTAACATGACTTACAATGCCATCTCTAATATCTAATATCTGAAACACAAGAAGTTGATTAGGTAAGTGGACATAGAGAATTGAATACTACCTACATTATTGATACCATCTGCCATTGTCATGGAGTTTTCAAAAATGACATTTTGTCCATTGTTAATCAGTTCTTGGGCACGTCGAGTAGCCTCATATAATCCATCCGATACAGTTTAAGAAAGCAAAAGAATAATCACAAAAAGAAAATTGAAAAATGTTTACTAAATTGTTTAACTGGCTCATTACTTTCAATGTCGTCATTGTCTTGCGACATTGTTCATACGTGCATGTACCGGTTGATATAATCAGTTTGCATACATCTTCGATCATTTCCTTGGCATGTTTTTTTCGTTTTCACATCCTGAAACAGAGAGGAGAATAACAGGGATAATTAACTATCATGTTTTAGATAAGCATGTGAAACCTCTTCTGCTATTGCTATAACATCTAGAGGAATATGACTGATTTTTTTGTGGAACTGAAGACATTTTTTTCCGCTTTGAGAAAGAGTAACAATAATAAGAACAGAAAAGAGGGAAACTAATAACAAACCATTATTCGTGTAATAACCAATCACAATGCAGGTCACAGAAACAATAATGACCGTTATACGAGTAGAATGGCGATGAGGAAGCGGATTAATGATAAATAAGCGGTTCAGTAAGCGAACCGTATGAACAGGTAAGTATGCTCATCGCCGAAATAAAGATCCCCGACATTCAGCAATCTGTATTTCGACGATGTGGCTATTGACAAATGACGTTTTCGGCGATATTTATAATATTAAAAACGTTTCAATATAATGTGTATCAATACTATTGTAATTGTACTTAGTAATCATCATAGCTATGACAAGTTAGTAACTGAATAAGTTAAATTATTAACTAAGTCAAGTTAGGACTTAATTTAACTTAGGAATCAAGTTAAGAACTAAGGTTGGTTAGAAACTAACACAAAATTAGGCTGCGATCTATGATGTACACATCATAGTTGGATAATCACTCTCTCTTTACCTGATATATATTTAGTTAATGATGAAACAATAATTGTTGAAACAAAGATTACTAATATAGATCACGGAAAGAGTTGCGGCGGTCTATATTTCGGTGATCTTTATTTCGATAATATTCATTGTAGCGCGATCTTTCTTTTCGATAATGTTTGTGAATGAAGAAAAAACTAATTTCCACATCCATACCCACACCCACTTTCCGCCGAATCGAATGTTCAGTGTTAGGTCATCGAGTCAGGTAGTTTCCGACTATTTGAATGATTGTTTCCAAGGACATCGGAATTTTCGATCAAAATAAAAAGGATTTTGTTCGATAGATGCCTAGTCCTTGAGTCGTCGAAGCTTATTGAATATGTGGAAAAGGAGATTCAAACATAAATACTTACAGTTCAGTTTCGTTGAGAACTTAAACTTAATATGAACTATTATTCTTCTTTGAAGTGATGTTTTGAATTCATAAAAACATAATACTTTGTCGATTATGTTTCTTCTATTACGTTTTCTACTCATTTTTAAAAGCTAAAAATAATATTTATTGATAATGCAAGATTGATCAATATGACATTGAATAATTAACTGATTTGTGTGATAAAGTATACAAACAATATCTAGAAATTTTCTCAAAGGCTCCAAACGTGAAAATTCGCTATGATCACATCATCTGATATGATATATTCTTCAGAAAATTATGAAATTAACGTAGAATATAAGCCAAACATAAATCA